GTATGGATAATAGAGTAAGCTGGCTTCTTGCTATGTGAATATTTTATTGCCTTTTTAACTGTTAAAAAATGGTGCATCTAATGTAGTGCTTTCATTCATAGTCAACCACTTCTCTGCTGAAATGGCTGCTGATGCCATTTTTCTTGTTATTTGACATTATCTGTGACTCCAAGACAGCAGATCTGAAGCCAAGTGTCAGTTAGAGAGAAGCCTTCTGGTCTTTGTGCCCTCACTTGTCCAGGGTCAAGTTTGCTATTCAAGATTGATTTTTGTTGACTTTGAGAAAGACAGAAGTTGACCTTAGGTTTGACTCTGTCATGGTAAGATAGCAAAATAAAAATTTCTTTTTAAGCACCGGCCTTTATTTTAATCAAACCCAAGAAAATGAACAGCATCATACCACAGACAGATTTTGAAAAAATCACTACTGCAATTTGAAAATTACACCATTTACAAATGCTACATGTAAATTGGTTTAGAATTTGCCTTGACCTTTCCATAGAATCCACCCATTGTTTTGTGGGGCATTTTTGTTGTTGTTGGCTTTCAGTTTGAGCAAAAAAAAAATGTTGAGAACTTCTTTTCCACTTTTCTTTTCAAATGTATACAGAAAGAGAAGATTTATCTATCATTGTTTTAATGGCAATGGTGTGTTTTCTGTTTTATCCCTATTCAGGGCATAATTGCAGAGTATAACAAAATCAATGACGTGAAGGAAGACGATGACACTGAGAAGTTCAAGGAAGCCATCGTGAAATTCCATAGGCTCTTTGGGATGCCCGAAGAAGAGAAACTCGTCAACTATTACTCTTGCAGCTACTGGAAGGGAAAGGTCCCCCGGCAGGGCTGGATGTACCTCAGTATTAACCACCTCTGCTTTTATTCTTTTCTTATGGGAAGGAAAGGTAAGTTGGCTTGGATCTCAGAGAAAAAATTTGAGAAGTCTACTGAAAATTCCCTTGGGCACATAAAATACATTAATTTATCAAAATGACACTTGTGCTTATAAATGGGTCAGTGCTATTTTTACATTATTTACTAAGTGAATTGAATTATCTTCAATTCAGTATTTATAGAGAAATGCATCATTAAGTCATAAAAATATACCAAAGTAAGATTAATTTACACATTACGGATGCATACCCATATTTTTTATGAACTCACAAAGCTTTAATGGCTCGAGTTTATCTCTCAAGACTAACAAAACAATAGTGAGTAAAGACTCATAAACTCAAAGGAGCCCAATGGGATTGGAGTGTTGTGAACAGTAAGGTTGCTGGGTCTGGAGAGAATGGTTAGGAATCAGGTGTTGACCCAGCCTTGTTCCCTGTGCTCAGCCAAGCTGGTAATCCGGTGGGTGGACATCACGCAGCTTGAGAAGAATGCCACACTGCTCCTGCCTGACGTGATCAAAGTGAGCACGCGATCCAGCGAACATTTCTTCTCTGTGTTCCTCAACATCAACGAGACCTTCAAGCTAATGGAGCAGCTGGCCAACATTGCCATGAGGCAGCTCTTAGACAACGAGGGGTTTGAGCAAGACAGATCCCTGCCCAAACTGAACAAGAAATCCCCTAAAAAAGTGTCCGCTCTGAAACGGTAAGTGTTGGAGATTCTGAGCCCTGTAGACTTTAGAAACAGGAATCATCTGTGCTTGTATTCATTGGAACCATTTCTGAGCAGCTACAAGTGTTCTGAACACTCTTCTGGGTAGGTAGGAATTAGGAAAAGACCACTTAACTGAGACATATATAAACAGCATGGTGTGGTGGGAACTCATTGGTCCTATGAATAAAGTGCATAGATTGACATAGTGGGTGTGGATAATTCTGCCCAGATGAGACAGTTAGGAGAAAAAGCTTCTTTTCTGAAAAGAAGTCATGACAGTTAAGGTGTCTTTGGTGACTTGACAGAAGTTACTTGTGTAGGTAAATATAGGGTGCCTGTTTCAGGCAGAGGGTTGAACATGAGGGGAAATCAGAGAAGCAAGTTCCTCACATGTTAGGATAATGGCATGGTGTAGGGTGAGGAGAACTTGGAGAAAAGCCTGGACATCAGGATGTTGAAGTAAAGTGAGAGAGTGAGTGAGGGGAATTTTGATGCTCTTCTAGCTGGAGTGATGGTGTGCGTGGAATTGGCGTTATCTAAGATGGGAAATGAGACAAAGTCCATAGGTCCGAGGGATATTATGAAAGCTCAGTTGTGATCATATTGAGTTGTCTGCAGGATATGTAGTTGGAGACTGGTAAAATAAGATCCTCAGGATTTGAAATCTTTGGTGTTCAGTTAGCATTTGAAATCTGAAAAAAGTCACTACAGTTAAGGTGTCTTTGGTGACTTGAGACACTGTTCAGTAGAGGCTTCTATTGTGGGTTTAATTGCAAATGAAAGGCGAGGCAAGGGAATTAGGTAAGTATGGACTGCTTTTTTCAGGAAAGTCAATGGTAAAAGAAGACATTGTTGGAATTTTAGAATGGAAAAGATTTGAACATAGAATGAGAGAGAGAAATTGGAGAAAACTTGGTGAGAGCAGGTGTATGAAGAAAGAAAGAGCAGAGAAAATGAAACTGGGTGGAAATAAATAATTTAAAAAGTAACATCCCATTGAGTTTCCAAAAGGATGCGTTTGTGTACTGAGTCCTATTTTCCTTCATTTATTTTTGTTATTGTTGAGAATGTACATAGCAGAACTGACCAAATTTCTGCGTATACGATTCAGTGACCTTGATTACATTCTTCAGATTGTAGGACCATTCTCACCCTTCTCTTCTAGTTTTTTTCCCCTCCACCATTAATACAAACAACTTTAATATAAACTGCCTTCTTCATTGACTTTTTCTTAAACGATAAGGCTGAAAAGGTGGCCCTGGTAAATGTACATGTAGAATCAGTGAGAAATTGTTACATTCCTATAGGAAGATTTATGAGTTTTCCTAACTCTTAGCAGATACCAAGTATAACGTTACTACCAAAACCGCCCTCCAGTCCTGTTGTTGAGTCGATTCTGAGTCGTGGCAATCTCATGTATTAGAGAGTGAACTCTATGTACTCTGGAATTTTTCTGGTGTTAATCTTGGATTGCAAAAAGAACAGATAAGTTTTGTCTCACATACTTTGGCCATGCTGTTAGGAGGGCTATTCCTTGGAAAGGGACATCATGCTGGGAAAGGTGGAAAAAGAGAGGGAAGACCTGCAATGAGAGGGACTGACATGGTGCCTGCAGCAGTGGACTCAGGTGTGTCAGGGATGATGCCAGATAGGACAGAGATTAGTTTGTTGTTCATTGGGTCGCTATGAGTCATGCTCAATTCCATGGCACCTAACAATAGCAGCAGTCTTAATGGAAGCAGATTTCTGGGGCTTTCTTCCCAGAGTACCACTGGGTGGATTTTTGACTGCTGGTCTTTTGAGTAGATAGCCACGCACTTATCCATTTATGCCTCTCAGAAACAAACATTGGCTCCACAGGGACTTAAACCCATTAAAATAATTTTATTATGTTTTGGGGTCACTAAATTGGTGTTAACTCTGATACTAAGCTAAGAAGGTCAAGGAAAGGAACAATAATATGGGACTTTCTATTGCTACCTCCTTTAGAAGGTGTTGAACACTTTTCTCACATGAAATGAGTTCTTCTTATTGCTTTCCAGCGATCTTGATGCCCGGGCAAAGAGTGAGCGATACCGTGCACTTTTCCGCCTGCCCAAAGATGAAAAGTTAGATGGACACACAGACTGCACGCTCTGGACCCCATTCAACAAAACGCATATTTTGGGTCAGATGTTTGTGTCCACAAATTACATCTGTTTTACGAGCAAAGAGGAGAATTTGTGTAGTCTCATCATTCCACTCCGGGAGGTAAGTGTCAGTTAAGTGGATATTTTAACAGTTTCAGTTGTAGTATTTTCCTTTGTGAACCAGGGATACCTTTACTGGCAGTCATTAGTTTTAATCACCCATGTTCTTCGGTAGCACTGACAGCCCTTTCATGTGTTGTCATTGCTCTTAGACAGCAGGGAGGCAGCTTGGCCAAAAGATGACGGTCCAGGCTGCGACTCTGAGAGCCAAGTGTGTGTTCAGGTCTGGTCTGAGCCCCTCCTCAGATCTGAATCAAAATCTTCACAGGTTTTAGAATCTGTATTTTATTCCATTTCTCAGTTGAGGCAAGGTAATGTCTAGAAACAATATTCTTGTGTCTGGGCTGGGGCTCGGGGATGGGGGGTTCTAGCACATTTTTTGCTGCTATAGATCACTGTGATATTTATCTAAAAACCTTCAGATTGAGATTGAGACAGCTTCCAGGTTAGGACAAGAAGACCAGCACAAGGCCTGGTAGCCTCACAGTGTCTAACTTGATGACTTCCAACCTCATGAGTTCCTTTTCTGGATGTTCAGATGGTCTCAGGCTTTGGCCATTCCGTCAAGATTGGCCCTTTGTTAAGAATCCTTTTCCTTTTTATTTTTTTGAAAGAATTATTTTGCAAAAAACCATTCTTTGTTGAATTTGCTTTGCTTTAAGATTAACATCATTACAGGAAATTGTAACGTGTATAAATGAAAGAAAAGAAAATTCCCCTGGTCCCATCATTCATAAGGACTCCTGGTGGCATTGGTGCATTATGATTGAGCTGCAAACTGAATGGTTGATGGTTCACACTCACCAGTCTTTCTGCGAGGGGGAAAATCATCAGCAGTCATCTCTTATAAAGATTAGCAGTCTCAGAACCCTGACAGAGGGTCTCTGTCAGTTGGAATGGACTCTGGCAGTGGGTTTGGTTTTGAATTTTTTTCCACCACTCACTGAAAAGCATGGTTAAAATTTTGTTGTATGGCTTTCCCAATTTTTCCTATTGTTACGTCTGCACCATTACATAATTTACAAAGATCGCATCATTAATTAAAACTCAGAAAACATTGCCATCAACTCTGAACTGAATCATAGCTGACCTTCCCTGGGGTTTTCAAGGCTATAAATTGCATGAGAGGAGATTGCCTGTGTTTCTCCTGTGCAGCCACTGGTGGATTCAGACGACCAGAGAGTTCCGCCTTTGGGTTAACAGCTCACCTCCCTACTGACTACATCGCCAGTGCCCCCACCCCCACCTCCGCCATGCCGTCGTGGGATTATTACTTTCTGCTTATTTCCCTTTACAGAAGGTATATCATAATCATTTTCCCCCACACCATTGAATATTCCTCAGTACTATGGTTTTCCCAGTAACTACCTAAATTCCATTAATTGGATATATACACAGTTTAGTTCTTCAGCTCCCTAAGTTACCGGTGGTTGGACTTTTTCATTGTTTTCAGTTTTCTCCCCAATCATACGTATAATTCTATTTAAATTATAAATTCTAAAAGCTAAAATGGTGGGTCAAATAAAATGCAGAAGGTCAGGCATTTTTCTAGGTTGAGCTCTCCTCCTGCAGAGTAAGCCAACTCATGTTACGGAAGCTCTTTGAGAACAAGCTGAGTCCTAAAATGGGTAATCCTGTCATACCTACTTAGATTTGGCTCTAAACATATTTCATAAATTTCTCCAGCAAATCCACTTTCTCAGTAGCCTTTGCTATGGGCTGCTGCTAAATGTATTTTTCTTCTTGAGGTACAGTTGACACTTGAGAAACCTGAATTTAGACTGCAGGCCCACTAATAGCAGATTTTTATTTTAATATGCGTAATGGTAATTATCTTGGTGTGGAGAATTCATCTTTTCAGGAAATTACATTTCACAGTAAGAGATCATTTCCACTAGTTTTCATTGTGTTTAGCAGAATATTATAAACCTTGAATAATAGCACCAGTTGCACCATAGTAAGTGCCCATTGGTGATGCTGGGCGTGCTCCCAAGAAACAGACAGTACCTGGCATTACAGGAAAAGGCTTAATTGTTTAATATGCATCATAGATTAAATCTGCAGCTGCAGCTGTCCAGCATTTCAAGATAAATGAATCCAGCTAAGTGTCACTGGGTGCGGGGCGTGGGGGTGGGGGGCAATTTATGATACTATCACTGCAGAAAGAGAGGAAGATCATCAGCAAGATGGATTGACACAGTGACTACAGCATTGGGCATCAGAGGTCATGAGGATGGTACAGGAGAGGGCAAGGCTCGCATCTGTTGTTCATAAGGTCCCTGTGAGTTGCATTTGACTCCATGCCATTTAATAATAACAATAGCATCATTTGCGCTACATCACATGGCACAAAAACCTTAGAGTTTTTTGCAGAGTATCTTTTGTATCCCATATTGAAAGCTCTGCTTTTATGTAGACGTGGTCTATAATGCATAGGACATACAGAATGCTTGTTAACAGTTTATGTTAGCGGAGCAAGTCATCCTTGTATCCAAAGGGAGCCGGGGATGGAGACTCCTGGAAGCAGCTGTCGCAGCATCTGCTCACCTTCTGCTCCTGGAGGCGGGGTCTTGTGTCAGGTTAGCTCTGTTTACGTTTTAATGCAATTTCAAACACAAAGGCAGGGGAATTGAGAGAAAGATGATTGATCATCTCACATGAGAGCCTTCTGCTCTCTGGTTTTCCCTAATAGGTCGTTGGCAAAGATAATTCAGTTATATTCCAGGGTAGATCAGGAGAGGGACCATATGTGGTGCATTTGAAATATGTGAGACATTTAAAAACAAAGCACACTGTGGTGGGAGGAGAGGGCTTTAAAGAAATTATATATGAGACAGTGGCTCCCTTCCTTCTAACCTAATGAATCATTGAGATATATTAACAGTAGCTTCCTAACCCAGACTAATGGAAGAAGGAAACACTTAAGGTACTTTCTATTACCTTTAAAAAACAAACTTAAATTCATCATTATTGAGTAGGAACCAACTCACAGCTGACCCTCCAGTGGGCTTTCGCAGGCATAGAAGGAGATTGCCCATCTTACACCCATAGAGATGCTGGTGAATTTGAATTGCCAGACAGGTGCAGCATTCAGGATGACAGCACAGCTCCCCTGGACTGTGTCAGGAAAGCAGCGCGATATGGTCTGCGTACAGAGTGTCTCTCTGTGACCTGTGTGCCTTTGTGAACTGAGCTAAGCTGATCAATGAGCTGGAACCTCCGTTTGCATTGTAGAGACCAGGATTCAATGTTTTTTTCCATGGAATTACAAATAAGCTGAAATAAAGAGTTGAGATGGTTAATGTACATAGACACATAGAAGTAAAGAGAAATAGGTGCTGACATAATCAGCTTTCTTCTCTCTCTCTCTCTCAATTTTGGAGCTCTGGTGGTGCAATGGTAAGGAGCTGTGCTACCAGTCCAAAGGCAGGCATTTCAAACACACCATTTACTCTGTAGGAGAAAAATGGGCAATCCTCTGAAAACTCCCAGGAGAAGCAATTTTTATTTTGTTGGTTTTGAAAATCTACCTAGCAAAGCATAAACTAATTCAACAGTTTCTCCATGTACAAATTCGTTATTGATATTGTTAGTCTAGTATGATAAACTAATTCAACAGTTTCTCCATGTACAAATTCGTTATTGATATTGTTAGTCTAGTATGACTCGTAGTGTGATCCTATAAACAATAGATGTGAACCCTGTCCTTTGCCATCCTCACACTTCCTGATGCACTAGAGCCCGTTGCAGAAGTCACCTTGTCAGTCTCCCTGGTGGAGGGTCTTCTCCTTTGCCAACCCTCTGCCTTATAATTTAGTGAGAATGCTTACATACTAACAGTTTAAACCACTCCCTAGTCTTTTGTCTTCTTCATGATTTCTGCTGTGCCTGAATGTGTCATAGGTCTTAGCTGGCCATCTCACCCATGCTGGCCATGTGCTTCACCAAACAGGATGCTCTCCTTCAGGGATTGTTCCCCTGTGCCTGGAGTTGAACAATGTTTTGTTGTAACCCCTAAGACTTTCATTAGCTAATCTTTGGAAGTGGGTTTCCATACCTTATTTTTTCCTGATGTGTCTAAGTCTAGAAGCTCTGCTGGAGCCTCTCCACCATGAGTGACTCTACTGGTGTTTAATATCCCAACACACAAAGCTGCCACAGCACAACAAACTGATGACAGCTAGCAGACACACAGATTTAAGGAGTCTCAGGTTGGCTGATGTGAAATGTTTACACAGAAGCCCGGGAACTGCATGTTCCTGCAGGTTTTGAAAAGCTTCTAAGACATCAAAGCAAGAGGACAAGGGGTCTGACTAATCAGGTCCTCATTAAATCCAGATTCCGGATGAGGGTTTTTTTTAATGATGAGTTCATCTTGTAAATAATATCTATATAAAGCATCAAGATTTGATTAAATGCCTAGGGATTCCTTTAAGAAGTATGTAACTCTGAATATATTTAGCTGTATAGGTAGATTTAGCTATATAAACAGGAAGAACCAAAACCACTCCCACTGAGTCAAGCCCTTAACGGCATTTGGGTTTCTGATGTAAATTTTATTTTTACTTTTATTTTATACTGCTTTATTTACAAAGTTTGTATACATTGTTTTTCACCTGGATCTTGCCCATTTCCTTCACTCATCCCCTCCACCCATCAAATTGTGTGACTCTATGATTGATTAATCCCCCTCCCCCCCATCCTTACCCCTCTACTCCTCCTCTCCCCCTCTTGGAAACTCACATTCATTCTACAATAATGGTCTCACACACTGTTTGTCTTTGTGGGACTGAGTTCGTTCACTTAGCATAATGCTCTCCAGTCTGAGGTAGATTTTTACAGGAGCTAATTGCCCACCTCTTTCCCAAAAAGCAGCACTACACCACCAGGACTTGTTTGGATGTAGATATGTAAAATGTGAGAGGAGTTCTCAGGCTCGGTAGCTTTTTCTCCTTAATGGGCCCCATTTGGGCACTTTGGTGCTTAACAAGATTTTTATGGAACACCAAGAGGTTTTTCAGTCTTGAGGGGTAGGAGAAAAAAGTTGTGAAGTCCTACTTTGGAAGAAATGCATTTCATGTGAAAATGATGGTGAGCAAGCAAAAGTTTTCAAGTACTTACTTGAGAAGATAAAGCAAAGGTAAAAAACATAGGTTTAAGCTTCTAGTCAGAACTGTTGCAAATAAACCATTTATCTAGGGGGCTGCTTTGATAGTGTTTCCTATACACACACACCAGTGAGCTGAAGAAAACAGTCTGAATGCTTTAATACTCGTTCCCAGCTGATGAAAATCTAATTATAAATTCACCAAGTATTTCTCCATTTCAGAGTTGAAACAGACGTCTCCCCTTCTACTTTTCTCTCAGAGTTGTAGACTAATTCAGCTCAAACGTGCACGCACACACACCTCCACACTCACACACACACACACACACACACACACACACACACACACACACATCCCAGAGAAAGAGAGACACAGAATCTGCCAGTGCAGACAAGAGCTGCAGCTAAGCTTTTTACACCATGTCTGTTCAGGATGAAGTGGTAGGAGGTGTGGATTGCAAAGCCCTGGAGTCTAAGGCCTGGAAGGATTGGTGGTATTTTGGAATGGTCCTCACAGTCCTCGCACAGTGAGAGGGTTGAAGCCTGATATGGGGAGCATCTTCTGCACTGACCAGGTTGAACAGCATCCCTAACCTCTGTCTGCTGGATCCTAATTCTCCATTTATGAAAACCAGCAGTGTTGTCAAATGTCTCTTGGGAAGCAACACTCTTGATTTTGAACTGATGAGATGATTCCAATTTCTGGCCCAAACTTCAACTTGATTTGTTATAAATGGCTTTTTTTTTTAAATAAATTGCTTTCTTTTATTGCATCATTGTTATTGTTGATTGCCTTCGAGTCGAGCACGACTCATAGAGACTCTAGGAGCAAAAGGCCTGAAGCCCCTCTACAACTACTGACATTTATCAAAGTTCATAGAGTTTCCAGAGGCATATTGTTTAAAAAGTGGATGCCACTCCTGCTTCCAAACCTGTTGAGTCACCTGTGATGTATAGCAACCCTATGTCCAGCAGCTCTGAACTCTTCCCTGTCCTGAGCCAGTCTCATTAATTCTGACACATCAACCCCCATCGCCCCAGTTACTGTATTAATCCATCTCGTCTGGGTCCTTCCTCTCCTGCATTGTCCGTCCACCCTTCCAAGCATGATGTTCTTTCTGATCTCTTCTGGCTGCATGCCCAAAGTAAGTGAGGTAGGACTTCAAAATCCTAGCCTCCAAGGAGAGACTTGGTTTCACTCTCCGCAAGACAAACTTTTTTGTTTTCTTTGTAGTCCATGGTATGTTTAAGAATCTTCTCCAGCACCACGACTCGAAGGTTGCATCATAGGCAGTTAAATTTTCTTTTGCCTCAATAAAATAGGGTGGTTCCTGCAGAATGTGAAAGTTCTTCTTCAGTGTTACTCATCTGTGGCGATTGAGTAGTTCCTGGGGCAGGGACGTGATGTTCTTTGTTTCATTCTTCTTTTCAGGTGACGATTGTGGAAAAGGCAGATAGCTCCAGTGTACTGCCCAGCCCCTTGTCCATCAGCACCAGGAACTGCATGACCTTTCTATTTGCCAATTTAAAAGATAGAGACTTTTTAGTGCAGAGGATCTCTGATTTCCTGCAACAGACGACTTCCAGAATATACTCAGATAAAGAGTTTGCCGGAAGCTACAACAGTTCAGATGACGAGGTCTGTGGACGGGGCGGGTGGGGGGGGGGGAATCAATGGCCAGGGACTGATACCCTAAGGATGTTTCTGGGCTATCCTGGTATGCTCCCAGCTTTGCAACTATGCTTAGATAAAGCATATGTCCTGAAGCCATGGCAATGTCTCGGCATTCCTACAACTTATAATGTTTGTGAGGGATCACAGAGCAGGAAGAACTCTTATAGATCTTCTGCTGTGAGCCTCTTACTTTAATTTGTCCTGGTTATATAGCAATAGAATGTGATCAATATATTGAAATTGTTGCAGAGGGCACTAAACTCTTAAGCTGAAATACATCATTCTTATAATAGAACTCATACTGGGTTCCTGGTGTATGAAATCCTGAACAAACATCTTCATTTCAGAGAGGAAACCTGGGGCCCTGGAGTGACAGACAATTAGCTCAATGGATGGAGCTCCAAGATAATGTGGATACGTTTGAGAGGCACCAAAAACTAGTGAAAAGATGAACCCTTCTTATCGCCTACCAATTGTGACAGGCTTTGCATACCAGTAAATAAGAAAGAAAATGGCCAGTTACCTGATTGCAAAAATATTTCTAAAACACAGAGTCTATTTTGAGCAGTAAACCACTTGATTCTATGGCCTATGCACAGAAGGACACAGTTGCCACAAAATCAGTTCTGATTCGTGGCTGCCTCATGTGTGCCGAGCAGCACTGCACTCCACAGGACTCCGTCCTGTCACTTTTTGGAATCAGATCACCAGGCCTTCCTTCCAGGATATCCCTGGATAGACTTGAACCACCAACCTCTTGGTTGGTAGCTGAACACTTAACAGCTTGGGCCGCCTAGGGATTTATGCTCAGTTGTGATCCTTACCAAAATGTTGATGTGCTACATTTCTCTGCTTCTCCCTCTGGAAAACAAAACAGTAGCTTTTGGTGTCTGTAGAAAGAGTGCTGAAGAAGTCGATTTCTTTCCCAGAGTCTTCTAATGGTAGTGTCCCGTGCCTCCCTGCATGCATAGGTGTATTCTCGGCCCAGCAGCCTCGTTTCCTCCAGCCCCCAGAGAAGCGCGAGCTCAGACACCGATGGGGACCGCCAGTTCAACCTGAACGGTAACAGTGTCCCCACGGCCACGCAGACCCTAATGACCATGTACCGGCGGCGCTCGCCCGAGGAATTCAACCCCAAACTGGTGAGTGCCTGCAACTCCTCCCAGAAACTTCCTTTATTAAAATGATGACATTAGACAGAAAAATTCTTTTGAGTACATAAACTCTTAGAAATATCTAAGTGGACCTTTCCTTATAGTAAGATTTTATCATTATGTTTTACAATGGCTGTATTGAAAGAGGTAAGAATTATACAGAGCAGATTTTTTTTGGTCTTAGTTTTAAATAATTATTTGAGTTAGAAGGAGAATTGATGCCTTTGAGCTGTGGTGTTGGAGAACAGTATTGAACATACCATGAACTGCTAAGAAAACGAACAGGTTCATCCTGGAGAGGGTTAAAACAGGCTGCTCCTTGGAGCCAAAGATTCTAAAGCTTCGCCTGACATACTGTGGACATGTTGCATGGAGGGACCAGTCCTTGGAGAGGATGTCATGCTTGAGAGGGTGGAGGGACAGTGCAAGAGAGGAAGACCTTCTATGAGGTGGATTGATTCAGTGACTGGGGTAAGCAGGATAGGTGTGTCGGAGACAGTGAGGTTGGCACAGGACAGAGCAGGGTTTAGGGCTGTTGGAGTCGCAAGCGACTCAACGGCACATAACAACAAAACCACCACCACCACCAGTAAATTAGTACACAATTTCCTAACTCACATTTTAAAAATGTGAACTGCCTTTGCCTCTCGACATAACCGTGCTCAGCCTCCTCCTAATTTGTATCAGGTGAAATTCTGACTGCAGATCAAATGGACTTTATGGCAGAGTAACTCAAACTTACTGCTGGCCAGTCCATTCAGACTCACAGTGACCCTCCATCAGGTTTCTGAGGCTGGAAATCTTTTTGAGAGGACATGTCCATCTGTGGATTGCATAGTGAATTTGAACCACTGGCCTTTCAGTTACTGACTTGTTATTATTCTCTCCACCACTCGGGTCTGTTCTCAGGCTATGATAGACCCATTGTCTTCAAGTCCGTTCTAACTCATAGAGATTCTCCGTCAAGTCTGTGGTTGTTTTAGAAAGACTGCCTCTCTTTCTGCCTCAGAACAGCTGATGGATCCAAACCACCAGCCTCGGGGAGCTCTGGTGGCCTAGTGGCAAGGAGCTGCAACTACAATCCCAGAGGCGCACGGTTCGAATCCAAACCACCAGCCTTTAGGTTAACAGTCTAAAATGTTATGAGTTACACCTCCAGGATTATGATGTTTTGTTTTGTTTTTTAAATCTCCCTTACCATCGAGTTAGAAACTCCCATGGCTGATCTCCAGGGGGGCTTTCAGGAGGCTGTAAATTGCATGGAAGGAGGTTGCCCATCCTTCTCTCAAGGAGCTGCTGATGGATTCAAACCACCCAAGAGGCACCACTTTGGGGTTAGCAGTCCGACTCTCTAGGGACTAGGCCAACAGAGCTCCCTAGCATTATGGTAGTTGATGAAATCTGCACACCCCGAAATCTAAGTTGTTTGGATTTTCTGTCCGTTTTTTACTGAGAACTTAACAATAAATTTTAAGGTCATTCCTGCAGAAAAGCAGCCACTTCTGTTCATGAGAAAAATGATTCTGTCTAGAACTTGATCACTTCATTCAACGGAGATAATGCCCCAGCCCACCATCATACCTCTTCTCAGACCATTCCCCAAAAACCTTGTGGTTTTAGTAATTTCTTCTCCTTTTCAGGCCAAAGAGTTTTTAAAAGAGCAAGCATGGAAGATTCACTTCGCTGAGTATGGGCAAGGCATCTGCATGTATCGCACAGAGAAATCGCGGGAGCTGGTGCTGAAAGGCATCCCAGAGAGCATGCGCGGGGAGCTCTGGCTGCTGCTCTCAGGTACTGTGGTTCCTTCATGATTCTTCCTCCATTCACATAAACTTGATGTTCCCTAAGCTTCCTATCTAAATGGTCAAGCTGTTGAGGTCACCTTGATCCCAAGGAGAGAACTCTTTAAAAGAGCATAAAGCTCAGTGCAGACAGACATTCTTTACAAATTAGGCTAAACTATTTGGTATAAAGATGACTTCAGAGAGTGTTTTTAGTTTAAAGTCTAAAGATTCTCTCAGGGCAACAATTTCAAGGGTTCATTGAGACTCCGGTGCTCTAGAACATCAGGATCCCATGAGAGTTTGGAATTCTGTTTCACTTTCCCCATTTTGATCTGAATTCTGTTATAGAATCCTCTATCCCCATGTTAGTAATCACTGAGAATTTGTACAAGTATGATACATAGTTAAAGCAGGCCTTTGGAGCTGAAGGAAGAGAAATAAAGTGGAAGGAGTAGGAAAGCCCTGTTTTTTAGTTTTGTCACCTCCTGAATTCTCTTGTCATCACCAGAGTTGTGACAGTGAGGCTGTGATCCCCATTAGAACCAAAAGCCAACCTAGATCACACTATATTTCAGTGGCATGTGAAAGGTGACAAGGGGACAGAGAGGACATGTGCATGGCCCTAGGGCAATAATGTCCCCACCTTTGCTGGTTCACAGACTAGGCTAGAAGGTAACCTTAATAGATCAAACCTTGGAGCCCTGGTGTAGCCACCAGTGGTCCTTCAGTGACACCCACCGCTGCTTCTTCCTATCTGGAGCATCCAGAGCTTTGCAGATGAGCAGTTATGTCGTAACATTAAAGTGTTCCTAGGATCCCCCAATCTTAGAAAGCAACTGCTCTTCCTTTTTAAAACCAAAAGCCAGTTGTCATCAAGTTAAGTGCAATTCATGGAATTGAGTCAGCCCATGTATCAGAGTAGAACTGATCTGAAAGGTTTTCAGAGGCTGATTTTCTAAATTTTTTAGTTTTATTTTATTTTTTAGATACATCAGCAGCCTTTTTTCTCAGGCACCTCTGGTGGGTGCAAGCTTCCAATCTTTGGTTAGTGCCGGGAGTATTGACCATGTCCACAGTGATACTTCCTTTTTTAGAGGACTGAGATGTAGCCATCCTGTGAATCTCTTTATTTGAATCCAAGACGGTTACACTTAAGTTCTGTTATAAAACCTTCTTATAGAACAAAAAGTTAAAATTAAGAGAGTTAATAGACTTAACAGCCTTTAAAGAAACAGAATACTCAGCTCTTTCTAAAAGTAGAAGTAAATGATAAAGTTGCCTGTAATGAGAGATACAAACCTTTCAGAAGTAAGGAAACAGGATCCTGAAAAATAATTAGATTTGTATTTCATGTTAAAACTGCTTTGTTTTTCTCCCCATTTACATTTCTACCTTTTCCTTTTTCTTAAGTAGACCAGACATAGCTCCTCATTTAGAAACCCAAATTTGTGTCAGCCCTTCTCTAATTATCAATCAAGCCCAAGAAGATCATTACCATCCAATCTTCTCTTGTCTTCCTTTCATTTGCAGGGAACTAGTCACCTTAACAACCTACTTCAGATTGCTGACAGAGTAAATCAAACAGTCCATGTGCATCCCCTTATGCAAATTAGAAGTTATTTGCAGCCACATTTAGATTAACGTGACACTGAGGAACGGCACCGGGAAGCCAATGTACACAGTGTTGGAGCCGAGACACATTTAACATTTACCCAGGGTTTGCTTCTGCGGTGTTGGTTGGGAGTGCAGAGGGTGTGGGGTACACAGGTTGCCCTCTGTTAGTGGTTGACAGAGTTGTATTTCCTCTTCATGATGTGGGACTCATGTAAAGGGCAGCTTGTCCAGGAGGAGATCACAGCTCCTAGCAGAACCCTGTCCAGCCCCACACCTACGGCTCAGAACCTTATCTGGTTTTGCCTCAGGAACATATTGAAGCAGTTTGCAGAGCCAGACGTAAGGGACTCTGAAACTCTATCAAAGAACAAAGTGACAGACAGTATTACCTTTCTGTCAGTCATTCTACCTTTTCCTGGGCAAATGTTAGCAGTTATGCTGGCTCTCTTGGTGCCCATCAGGGACAGGAAGTAGACCAGCGCATGAGCTCTAATTCTCAAACTCTGTCACTAACATCAATAATATATGCTCACACATATGCATTATTTGCTTTATATTGATTAGGCACAAGGTAAACAAACATTCTAATAGTGCATGCGTTTATGTGTGAACATGCACATACATCATTATTGTCAAGTGGAACCCACTCCTAGCTGCTCCTCCAGCAGATTTTCAGAGGCTGTAACTTGCACTGGAGGAGATGAACTGTTTGCCTTTGGGTTGGCAGTGCAACTCCTTACTCACTAGGCCACCATGGCTCCATATGTATGGATATGTGTCTGTGTGTGTATGTCCACACACTTACACACATAAAAGGAGCCCTGGTGGCCTAATGTGTTACTTGTAAGGCTGCTAGCCTAAAGGTCAACAGTTCAAATCCACTGGGTTCTCTGTGGGAGGAAGATGGACAGTGTCCTCCCATAAAGATAGTACAGCCTTGGAAAGCTCATGGAAGGCCACTCTGAGTCAGAAACGATATGATGGCAGTGGGGTTTTATACATATATATCAAACCTTGGAAAAAGACATCATGCTTAGAAGGGTAGAAGGCCAGCATAAGAGAGGAAGACCTTCAAAAAGGTGGATTGCCCCAGTGACCGTAGAAGTGGGGTCAGATGTGGCAGAGATACTGAGGTTGGCTCAGGAAAGGGCAAGATTCAGGGCCATTGCTCATAGGGTCACTGTGAGTTGTCGACTTGACACATAACAACAGCAATGTACCAAACTTGTTACTGATGAATAATTCTGACTCCCAGTCACCATAGAGCACAGGATTGTTGTCGTTGTTGTTGCTATGTGCCGTCAAGTCTGTTGGGACTCATAGTGACCCTATGTACAACAGCTCTAAACTCTGCTCTGTCCTGTACCAATCTCACTGTCCCCGACACACTCATCCCTATTGCTCCAGTAACCGAATCAATCCATCTCCCAGAGGGCCTTCCCCTCCTGTGCCTGCCCTCCACCCTCCCAAGCATGATGTCCCTCTCCAAGGACCTGTCCCTCCTTACAACATGACCAAAGTATGTCAGACGAAGCCTCAGAATCCTTGCCTCCAAGGAGGAGCCTGGTTTAACACTCTCCAGGATGAATCTGTTTGTTTTCTTAGCAGTCCATGGCACCCTCAGCACTCTTCTCCAACACCAAAGCTCAAAAGCATCAATTCTTCTTCTATCCTCCCTGGTCACTGTCCAGCTCTCTGATGCATAACAAGTGATTGCAAAGACCATGGCCTATACCAGATGCACCTTAGTCTACAGAGACACACTGTTGCTCTTGAGTACTTTAGAGAGGTCCCTAACAGCAGACTTTCCCATCGCAATACATCTTTTAGTTTCCTGGCTGCTGGTGCCAAGAGTGTTGATTGTGGAGCCGAACAAACTGAAGCCGTGAACAATCTCAATCTCTTCACCATCCATCCTGATGCTGCCAGTTGGTTCAGTGGTGAGAATCTTTGTCTTCTTGACATTGAGCCTCAGTCCATACTGAAGGCTGCAGTCCTTGACCCTCTGTAGCAAGTGCTTCAGGTCTTCCTCAGTTTCAGCAAGCAGGGTTGTGTCATCTGCATAACGCAGATTGTTGATAGATCTTCCACCTCCTGATGCTGCAATTTTCCTCATAGAGCCCAGCCTCCCAGATGATCTGTTCTGCCTACAGGTTATAAGGTATGGAGACAGGACACATCCCTGGAGTACGCACTTCCCGATTTTGAACCATGCAGTGTTTCCTAGCTCTGTTCTGACAACTGCCTCTTGGTTCAAGTATAAGTTTCGTATTAGTACAATCAAGTGTTCTGGGATTCCCATTCTTCTCAGAGTCAGCCACAGTTTGTTATGGTCCACACAGTCAAACGCCTTTGCATAATCAATGAAGCACAGATAGACGTTCCTCTGATACTCCCTGCTTTCAGCCAATATCCATCTGATATTAACTACAATATCCCTAGTACCACGACCCCTTCTAAACCCAGCCTGGACTTCTGGCAGTTCTCTGCTGATGTGCTGTTGCAGTCGTTTTTGGATAATCTTTAGCAGAATCTTGCTTGCATGTGAAATCAATGATATTGTTCTATAGTTTCCACACTCTGCTGGGTCACCTTTCTTTGGAATGGGAACAAATATAGATCTCTTCCAGTCAGTTGGAGAAGTGGTTGTTCTCCAGATTTCTTGACACAACTTGGTGAGCACATCCAGGGCAGCATCTGTTAGCTGAAATATGTCAATTGGTATACCATCTATTCCTGGGGCCTTATTTTTTGCTATTTCCTTCAAAACAGCTTGAACTTCTTCCTTCATCATCATAGGCTTTTGCTCATATGTTGTTTCATTAAATTCTTCTGTGTCTGCTAATGCCTTTTGATGCAATGACTCAGTATATTCTTTCCATCTTCTTTTGATACCTCCTGGATCATCTGCTTAAGTGAGTTTCAGACTGTAATCTTGATAGAAGCTGACGTCACTTCTTCTTCCCACCTGTAGATGGCAGCAGGGCGTAAGATTGCCTTTCATTCTGTCAGTATCTGCGAGTTTACCACCTCACAACCAGGCTGTTTCATATACATATTTTGTAAACATGTTATAAGGACCCCTAGTATATGTGTATGTGTTGAGTATGCACTCATGTACACACAGACAGTGCATATTTGAGTTAGAGGTGTTTAAAGCCTAAAGTTTTATTATGAAGTTTATTATTTTATCTGGAAGAACTTTAAGTGCAGAAATTTTAAACAAGTGGCCCTTAGCCCAGCTTTCCATCCTGTCCTCACGACCTGAAATATTCCCATCCTGAATAGCAGCTCCTCTCATATTCGAATACAGCCTCTTGCTCTTTAAGCTCTTCAGAGCTAACTTTTTAAATCTTTTTTGAGAGAAAGAATCTCCTCTTTCAAATAAAATTCCCCAGAAACCCCTAAGCTGTCCCTCAGGAATGAATGTTAAATTCCTTGGGAAGTGCTTGCGTTGGAGGTTTATAAATGACCTGCTGACTGTATCACTGAGACAGGGAAGAAGCCACAGGTAAGTTTATCAGGCTAGCCGCAATCACAACACATGACGTCATCTTATTGTTCTGCACATGTCCTGTGAGTAGTAGGGAAAGTGAAGAGGTTTGGTAAGTAATGTTTGCCGAGCAAAGGGCAGGGTTTTCCTTTCATAACAGTCCGTTTTGTTGATCCTTTGTAGGGGCCATCAATGAGAAGGCCACCCACCCTGGCTACTACGAGGACCTGGTGGAGAAGTCCATGGGAAAGTATAACCTCGCCACCGAGGAGATCGAGAGGGACTTACATCGCTCTCTTCCAGAGCATCCAGCTTTCCAGAACGAAATGGGCATTGCTGCTCTGAGGAGAGTCTTAACAGCTTACGCTTTTCGGAATCCTAATATAGGATATTGCCAGGTAAATCTCTCTGGCGGTTTGTGCTGTTTTCAAAGTTGATTTTATTATTATTAACAGACTCATTGATCAGTCTTTCTCAACCTTGACACTGTTGGCCTTTTGGACTGGATAATTCTTCATTCTAAGAGCTGTCTTACACATTACAGAATGTTTCATCGTAGCCATGGCCTCTGCTCACTAAAAGACAAGCAAAAATGTCTTCGTGTGCTGCCAAACGTTCCCTTCTGGATGAGCGGGCAGGCAGAATCACCAAAGGGTGAGGGTCACTTCAGTGAGCAGATGAGCTGGTAGACAAGTATAATGTCTTGATCCACCACCACCTCCTAGCTTCTGTGACCTTACAAAGTCTTTCCTATTCTGGAGTGATAGAAAAGATACCTGAGCCATAGCCTTTACTTCTTACCACAGTGCTCCTGCTTGGAGTCCTCCCTAGTGATCACGTCCAAAAAAATGCAGGTTCCGTAGCCTATGGGTATCTTTTAGTACACATTAAAATAGCATACCATAACTTGGGAAGCCCCAGGACACTGTGACCTACAAGGTCTTGATTCAAAGACCATTCCAATTGATTAGGGAGCCCTGGTGGCCTAGTGGGTAGGAAGCTGTGCTGCCGACCAAACGGCTTAATGTTTGGATCCACAAACTGCTCCTACGGAGAAAGATGGACAGTCTCCTCATCCCTTTTAGGTTACAGCCTCTGAAAACCCAGTGGAGGGAAGGTCAGCTATGAGTTGGTTGCCACTCAGCAGCACATTAACAACAGCTTTATTCTGTCTCTGATACAAACATTTAAATTCTGTGAGATCTGCCACCTCTTTGTTTCCCGGCTTAGACCTGGGAGGAGAAGTCAAAACTGACTGACTCATGACTGACTAAGGGGCTGGCAGTGACCAAGACCATGTGTTAGAATAAGCAGTTAATATTAATCAGGTGGCATTTTAATAGTGACGTCACTTGGAATTACAAGAAACAACCTAATAAACTAGAATCCCATTGTAAAATGTGTATTGGAGAAGCCTGAAGAATAATTCTGGCTTCTAGAAGATCAAAATAGAGACAGGAGTTAGTTGACCTGTAATATAATAGGGTTTATGTTTATCTTTTGATCTTCCTCCTTTTAATTAAGAGGATTACTAAAGTAGTTTAGGCCCTGATTGTGCTTCATGGGATAATATCTTTAATAAGGAATGATTGCTTTAGAATTTAAATCACTCTTACTTATCACACCATCTTTATCCAGATGGAAATAATGGAGAACTCCAACCTTGAAAGGTTTCATTGTTGTCTGAGGAGAGCCTGGACATAATAGTATTATGTGTTGTTAAAAGGGACATATTTTACTAGTTCAATTAAAGACTAAGAATGCAGAACAATTTTAGCAGGCTGAAAGCTGTGGCAAATGGTCTTTGAACAGAGTTTTTGTGTGAAAGTTTGCCCCTTTTTATAGGATTCAGTCACGATGGAGTTAATAAAGACCATGAACACTTATTGGTTCAAAGACTAATAATGGCTTTTACATTTTTAAAGGCCTTAAACAAAGCCATTTGAGGGCAGAAGTAGTTGAGTGGCAGAACTCTTACTTTCTATTTGCGAGAACCTAGTTCAGTTGAATTAGTGGTTAACACACCACATGGTAGCTTCCATCAGTGGAGACTTGTATTAAGATCTACACAGGTTTCAGGAGAGCTTCCAGAGTAAGACTAGAAAAAAGGTATGTTGATTTGCTTGAAAAGATTCATGTCAAGTCAGAACTGCGTGATAGCTCTTCCTCCAGGTGGTTTTCAGAGGCTGTAAATACTGTAAGAGGAGAGTGGCCATCTTTCTCCCAGAAGCAGCTGGTGAATTAGAACTAATTGCCTTTGGGTTGAGATTATAACTCCTTATACACTAGGCCACCAGAGAAAACCTGTGGGAAGAGCGCAGAACTACCTAGTGCTTCAGTCTGTTGTGCTGAGCGTCCCATTGGTTGGGAGCTGACTTGAAGTCAGCTTAGGTTTGCAGATGGCACAACCTTGTTGGCTGACAGTAAGGAGAACTTGAAACATTGGCTGTGGAAGATCAGACACTGCAGCCTTCAATATGCACTACTGGGCCAATAGGCAACATCGTGATAGATGGAAAAAAGATTGAAACTAACAATCACTACACTTGGTATGAGCAGTCAGGAGATCAGGAGATATATTGCACTGGGAAAGTCTGGTTTGTTTCTTTTTTTTGTTTTTTGTTTTTTTTTGGTTTTTTGTGTGTGTGTGTGCGTGTACCGTCAAATCAGATCTGACTGGTACAGGAGGAGATTGTTCCTCCTTTTCCCGGCAGAGCATCTGGTGGATTTGAACCGTGTGCCTCTGGGATTGTAGTTGCAGCTCCTTGCCACTAGGCCACCAGAGCTCCCCCGGAAAGTCTGGTTTGAAATTACTGAAGTTCAGTGATGTTAGTTTTAGGAATAAGGTGCACATGATTCAGACCATGGGTTTAATCAGTCATTTGCTGTTTTGCTGATGAGAATTGGAAAGTGAATAAGGATGATAGGAGAAAAGGTGATGCCTTTCACCTGTGGTGTTGGAGAAGAGTGCTGAATATCCCATGGATTGCCAAAAGAACAGATACATCTTGGAGAAGGGGCAGCCAGAGTACCTCTTAGAGGAAAGGCTGGCAAAGCTTCATCTTACTTATTTTGGGTATGTTGTTGTTGTTGTTATGTGCCGTTGAGTCACTTGCAACTCATAGCGACCCTATGTACAACAGCCTTAAACTCTGCTCTGTCCTGTGCCAATCTCACTGTCTCATCCCGATTACCCCAGACACTGAATCAGTCCACCTCATAGAAGACCTTCCCCTCCTACGCTGTCCCTCCACCCTCCCAAGCATGATGTCCCTCTCCAAGGACCGTCCCTCCTTACAACATGTCCAAAGTATGTCAGATAGAGCCTCAGAATCCTTGCCTCCAAGGAGCAGCCCGGTTTAACCCTTTCCTGAATGAATCTGTTTGTTTTCTTAGCAGTCCATGGTGCCCTCAATACTCTTCTCCAGCACCACAGCTCAAAGGCATCAATTCTCCTTCTATCCTCCTTGGTCATTGTCCAACTCTGATGCATAACAAGTGATTACAAAGACCATGGCCTGTATCAGATGCACCTTAGTCTTCAGAGAGACATCATTGCTCTTTAGTACTTTGGAGAGGTCCCTAACAGCAGACTTTCCCATCACAATACGTCTTTTAATTTCTTGGGTACTGGTGCCAAGAGTGTTGACTGTGGAGCAAAGTAAACTAACGCTGTGAACAATCTTAATCTCTTCACCATCCATCCTGATGCTGCCATATTATTAGGTGACATTATTCTTTGGAGAAGGACATCATGCTTGGGAAGGTGGAGGGACGACAAATTTGAGGAAGGCCTCAGCCAGGTGGATTGACACAGTGACTGAGTTACTGCCACAGTGGGTTCGAATGTGTCAGAGATTGTGAGGATGGCACAGGATAGGACAGGTTTTAGATCTGTTCATAGGATTGCTTTGAGTTGTACTTAGCTGGACAGCGCCTAACAACAGCAACAACAGAATAAAACAACAAAGTACAGCAAAGAGTGTGACCAGTAACTATCTGGCAGGCAAATTCTAAACATAAGTACCGTCTGGGCTTTTTCCCCCTGTGGGACTCACTCGGTAATCTGTTGTTGTTGTTGTTATGTGCCGTCAAGTCACCTGTGACTCATAGAGACCCTATGTACAATATCTCTGAAGTCTGCTCTGTCCCAAGTCAGGCTCACTGACTCTGTCACGCCTACCCCCATTGCCCTAGTTACTGTATCAATCCATCTCATCCGGGGTCCTCCTCTCCTGCGCTGTCCCTACACCCTTCTGAGCATGATGTCCATTTCCAAGGATTGGTCCTTTCTGGCCACATGCCCAAGATATGTGAGACGGAGCTTCAAAATCCTAGCCTCCAAGGAGAAACTTGGTTTCACCCTTTCCTAGATTGACCAATTTGTTTTCTTGGTGGTCCATGGTATGTTCAAGACTCTTCTCCTGCGCCACAACTCAAAAGGCATCAGTAGTATTTCAGGCTAACAAAATTTTGCTTATATGTTTATATCCTAAGGTTTGTTTGATGACATCCTCTTTTACTCTTCTAGGCCATGAATATTGTCACAGCAGTCCTGCTTCTTTATGCAAAAGAAGAGGAAGCTTTCTGGCTGCTTGTGGCTTTGTGTGAGCGCATGCTCCCCGATTACTACAACACCAGAGTAGTTGGTACGTATGTATTTCATTTTCTAAACTGCATCTCATCAGGAAGCTGTTTCTAGAACGGTAATATCAGCTGGAACTACATTTCTATTCATCAATAACCAATTACAAGAGTTTTCCAAAATGGAAGTGAGACAGCTTGAGAAAATAGATGTGTTTACACCAAAGAGCCACATAGACCTTAAGCGAATATACTATCTCACTGTCACCAAGATTATATTAGACAACATGTGAGGTGAGTGTCACTTTCAATGACGTGTAAGAACTCCACCAAATATATAATAAACATCAACTAAGAATTTTGGTTAAAAGTTCTTCATTGAAAAAGATGGAACCTGTGTAAAGCAAAGGTAGTAAGCAAAACAGAGCTGCGAGGAAGCCAGCAGATGAATCATTTCCAAAGCTCTTTCTAAGATGTTTTTCAGATGTGCTTATTACAAAACAAACAGTTATTGTGAGCATTTAAGCAAATTATTTCTATTCTTCCATATAACCATGTCAAATGCTAGATATTCTTCCTAGTAGGAAAAGATTTTTATTGCTACTTTCCTAAACTGTGCCTTGCATGTTCTTGTGTTCTGCCTTCTTTCCTAACCTGTGTGCACACTTTTGATTTATTGATCATACTCTTTGAAAATGCCAGTAAATTGACTGACTGTAAAGGTGGACATTTGGAATGATTTTATCAAGATTATTATTTTTGCCTTTTTTCCTCCTTTTCTTGGAAATGATTTTAAATTTAAACAAGATGTATTTCACACATGGGAACCACACATTTAGATGAACAATTATTATTTTAGCTATATAAAATTTTATGCAATGTAAAATTTACAATGTTAGCTGTTCTCAGTGGCATGAAATATATTCATAATGTTGTGAAACCATAGCCTTGATTTAGTTCCAGAACTTTTTCATCACTCTAAATAGAAACCCTCTTCCTACTACGTCGTCACTCCATTAAGTTATTCCTCCCTCTCCCAGCGTCTGACAGTAACCATTCAGCTATCTCTATGGGTGCATCTGTATTGGATAATTCATCTGACTGAATTATTTTGGAGATTTCTTACATGTGAAATTGTACACTATCTAACCATTTGTATCTGGCTTCCTTCCCATAGCATAAAGTTCTCAAGATTCTTTGATACTGTAGCATGTACATGTTCTTTATTTCTCTTTATGACTCAGTAACATTCCATTGAATGGACAAGAATATTTTGTTTATTCATTCATACATCAGTGGGCATTCAGATTGCTTCCATCCTTTGACTTTAGTGAATAGTATTGCCTATGTCTATTAAGGATATGTTTTAAATTCTTTTGGGTGTAAATATAGGAACTCTGAGGAGTCCTGGTGGTACCATGATTAACACTTAGCTACTAACTGAAAGAGGTCAGTGGTTCAAACCCAGCAGTCATTCCTTGAGAGAAATATGTGACAGTCTGCTTCTATGAATATTTGTAGCATAGAGCACTCTGTAGGGCAGCTTTATTCTCTCCCAGAGTCTCTATCAGAATTTGACTCAATAAGTTAAGTTTGTTAAGTTTGATTTGGTGTGGCTTATGGTACTTCCTGAGGTATTACTAGATTTTTAATGAATTGTTTCCAAGTAAGAAATGTGTAGAATTTGATCTGCTTTGATTTACATTATAAACCTAACCAAATACGTTGTCAAGAAGATAGCTGTCTCAAAAACTTTGAACAGCATTTTCAGTGAGCATGTTAGTATATTTCATATTAAGAAAAAGAGGACAGAAAGATCCTAGAGCCAGGAAGAAAGAGAGCTTGCAGCTGGGATGGTTGGTGATGTAGCTGACACAAAAATCTAATAATATAGGTTAGTGCCTATCCGAGCAGTTGGTAGAAAGGAGTAAGAACTCCAACTCAGCATTCATACTTGTGAAAGGAATTATTCATTCATACTTGATTCATTCATTCATACTTGTGAATGGATTATAATAACTTCATTTGGCTGGGCTTATCAATAACAAGCCAATGTTGTAGAACTAGAAAGATAACTACTAAAACGGGTATGAGGATCCAAGGCGGGGGAAGGGCAGGAGCAGAGGGGTGAAGATGGGCACGGGGGGATAAATATAAAGTCCCACAATTTGATGGGTGGAGGGAGGGGTGGGTAAAGGAAATGGGAAAGATCTGGTGTGAAAAACAATGTTTATGAACTTTTTAAGTAAGTCAGTATAAAATAAAAATTTTATTAAGAAAATAAAGGCAGCGTTGCTGACCAACCTTTGCCCCTGTGTGTCCGCCCTGCAGGTGCGCTGGTGGACCAGGGTGTCTTTGAGGAACTGGCCCGTGACTATGTCCCGCAGCTGTATGACTGCATGCAGGATCTGGGGGTGATTTCCACCATCTCCCTGTCTTGGTTCCTCACACTGTTCCTCAGCGCGATGCCCTTTGAGAGTGCGGTTGTGGTTGTCGACTGTTTCTTCTATGAAGGAATCAAAGTGATATTCCAGTTGGCCCTGGCCGTGTTGGATGCAAATGTGGACAAACTGTTGAACTGCAAGGATGATGGGGAGGCCATGACTGTTTTAGGAAGGTATTGCACTAAAGCTACTCTTTAAACCCCACCTGTGCTTTCCAATACACTTTGTGTAGATTTCATGAGTCTCAATTGGTCTGATGATAATCATGGTGCCCAATTATTTCTTCAAGCAAGGTCTCAGTTTCATATGCTTTTTACTTAGCACTGAATTTTAGTCTGTCCTTAAGGGAATGCTAGACTTTTCTATTTTTTTAATGTAATATCCAGAAAATAAGTAGAGAATTGTAATGGAGATTGTATTGTATTGGTTTCCCAGTGACTTCTCATTCACTTCTCCTTCCAGATACTTAGACAGTGTGACCAATAAGGACAGCACCCTGCCTCCCATTCCTCACCTCCACTCCCTGCTCAGCGATGATGTGGAACCTTACCCAGAGGTAGACATCTTCAGACTCATCAGAACTTCCTATGAGGTGAGGACATCTGGAAAGTACAAACGGAAGCGTGTCGTGTGTTTCCATTGCTAACCCAGGATCATGTTCTCCTATGAGTGAGCCAGTGTCTCAAGCAGAAGCTTAAATGTGTATGTTTATGTATACATATATAGAGAAACATATTATTTGTTACACTTGTTGTTGGTATGTACCATTGAGTCAGAATTAACTCATAGCTGACCCTCCAGCTGGTTTTCAGAGGCAGTGAATGGCACAAGAGGAGATTTGTCATTCTTTTCCCCTAGAGCATCTGGTGAATATGAACTGCCTGCCTTTGGGTTGCCATTGCAGCTCCTTACCACTAAGCCACCAGGTCTCCGTCTCATACACTTGTAGAGACTGGCAAGACTCATGGTATCCTCTGGTCACATGTCAGGCTATTTCTCTCTCCTGACTCATGTAGCTGCAGGGGCTGACGAACTCAAGATCAGCAGGTCAGATGGCAGGCTTCCGAGGCAGATGACTCCAAGGTTGTCAGACAGGTTGGCAGGCTACCTGCCCAAGACCAATCCTAGATGTCAGATGGTGAGGAGCCAAATGCAGGATCCACATGGAGCAAAAGACAAACAAGATGCCCATATATATGCACTGTAGGCCATACCCCACTGCAACTAACTTTCAACTGGAAATGATCATGTTATAGCAGATTTCATCAAGGGAATGGCTACATCATAGCTACCAAACCAGAGAATCATAGGTTGATGTACAGCTGTTAACAGTCACAACCTGCTTCCTCGTACACAGTGAGAACCACTTGCTGGAAGTGAGCAGCTACTTGTTTGTTCGTTGGCAGCTGTTGGCTCTTGGTTTGGAAATCAGGCACGAACACTGAATTTACGTCTGGGGTTTCCCAAGAAGCTAACGCTGTAATACAAATGGCTTAACAGGCTCTGGCCTTCCTGTTCTTTGCTTTGCCGCCTTGAAGTCTGATAATATTAACTCAGCTTCGACTCTGGAGAGGTTAATGAGTACTGTTAGTGTTGCTGTGTACCCTTGACTCAAAACTGACCCGTTCCTGACCCTCCAGTGAGCTCTCAGAGGCAGTAAATCACACAGGAAGTTGCTCATCTTTATCCGTTCACTTCCTGGGTCTCATCACAAGTACTTCAGTTTTCTGTGGAATAGACAGGCCGTCCTGCTTAGTTGTAAGAGCACCCTGCATGCCCCCTAGAGTAAATCCAGAGTCCTAGTACTTCCCTAGAATTGCTAGGCTGGGACTAGGGTTGAGAGCCAAGGAATGTGCTTCACGGTCAATGATTAACCCTGAATGCACTTGTCTCAGCTTGATGAATCCCAGGACAGAGCTGAGGAGCGTCTAGGGGAGGAGCTCCGTGCCATGCAGCCCGCAGCACGTGGTGGTTTATGTGGCCCTGAGGGCTCAGCACCTGCTACTCCAGATGGTTTTTTCTCTTCCCGAGCCTTGGCTCAGCAAGACTTTTATATGTCTATGAGATTGCTTTTCCTAAGGCATCCCTTGAAACCTTTATTTTTAAGAGCATTCTGGATTAAAGAAATAAAAGGAAAAGGAAACTCAGGCTGTAGTCTCCTCCTAGGTGGGGAATACAGAATCATGCTCACATAAGCACTTTGCTCCTTTTAACAGAAGGAGAAGAGACTGGAGACAAGATTGGTTTCCATTTACAACCTAACTGGCTAGGCTCTCATGATGGCCCTTAGGCAGCTAGATATCCCTGGACAGAAATGGGAGTGGCTTCCTTGTTCTACCCAGGAACATAGCTCCATTTATTATACCACTTTATACATTAATTGCTTTGTCTTTCTGTGTATTGTGTTGTTCTTGTTATGTACTGTTAAGTTGCCTGTGACTCATAGCAACCCTATGCACAACAGCTCTGAACCCTGGCCTGTCTTGAGCCAGTCTCACTGTCCCCAGTGCACCTATCTCCATTACCCCAGTTACTATGTCAGTTCATCACCTTCAAGACCTTCTTCTCCTATGCTGTCCCTCCGACCTTCCAAGCATGATGTCCTTCTCCAGGAATGAGTCCCTCCTGGCATCATGCCCAGAGTATGTCAGATGAAGCTTCAAAATCCTGCCAAGATGTTCTTAGCAGGCTTGGCTCTCCACACAAGGTCTTCTATAAGTCAGAAGATAAGATGAAAATCCATTCTCCCTCCCCTCACAAGCAAGTCCCATCCAAGTGCAATGACTACTTTTTTAACTACTTTACTCTTGGGGTGGACATACTCTTTGATGCAAATACACACAAAGTAAAGAAGTTTGTCTTACATACCAATTACCCTGGGCATTATAATTTTAACATTTACCACCGCTGTGAGTTCAAGATCCCACTAGCCATAAAGAAAGAAAACACAGATGGTCAGACAGAAACCTGTACAACCTACAGCAAGTGGGACAACATCCAGGAGCTCCTGGGCCACCCTGTGGAGAAGCCTGTGGTCCTGCACAGGTCATCCTCCCCAAACAACACCAATCCATTTGGCTCCACATTCTGCTTTGGTCTTCAGCGGGTGATCTTTGAGGTCATGCAAAATAACCACATTGCCTCAGTGACCCTGTATGGCCCACCTCGGCCTGGTGCCCACCTGAGAACAGCAGAACTCTCCTAGGGGCACCACTATGTGTCCCTCTTCCCTGTGGAACTGTGCACCATATCTTGCTCAGTGGGCCTCCGTGTGCCACCCTGGACACCTTTCTTGGACACCTTGCCAGTGTTGAAGGGCTGTTGTGATACCCTGAGGTGGGCCTTGGGTGTGCTGAGGGCCCGCTTATTCCTCTGTCCATCCTCAGCCTGCAGGCACCAACCAGCAGGAGAAACCGATTGCAAAGAGAAGCACAAACTCTGAGCCTTGATATCTGGACCCAGGAACTCAACTAACACGAGGAGGCAGGGTACTGTCACCCCTGACCTACACACATTGGGAAAGTTGGGTTCTTTCTGTGGCTGAGGACACAGACATCCAGGATGAGGACAAGAAGTCCTGCCTTTGGCCACACATTGCCACGTGACCCTTAAACCAAGCAGGTAGCATGTCCATAGTACTTGGTTGTGACATTTGCACTACATCCACTTTAGTTACTTGATGAGCTGGCTGGGGCCCATCTGGCTCACCTGCCCTTCCCGGTTCCTTTTCTTGCACGAACTCCCTGCCAGGCCCAGCAGGCACACTCAAGTGGTTGAAACAGAGATTTCTACCCTCCAGGAATGTGCCCAGGCCTGGTCCTCTCCCTTCGTGGAGCCAGCCTTCATGGTCCCTGTGCCCCTGCTCTGCCCTAACCTGGCTGGTGGGGCTGCATGTTTTCATTCTGTTTGCCTCTTTTATTTGATGCCAAAGTTTTAGCCAAAGACATCTTCCTCCCTCTGTTCTAGTATTCTGTTCTGCACTGTGGGCTGGCTCCCTGCCCCTGCCTCAGCCCTGGGCAGTGTCCCCTGGCCGGGCCCTTTCCTGGCCCAAGGCCTCTGGGGACTCAAGGAGGGCTGAGTCTGCTCAGCCTCTTCATGGGTCTCGCTAAGGAAAGTAGCATATGTGCTTTAAAAATATTAATCCTTTTGAAAAGAATTGAGGAGAGAAATGTATAATTTTATCCCATTTTTAATATTTTGGTCTAGCAACTTGTGATACATAGATGACAATTTTGTGAGTTTTTCAACTGTGTGTACAGATTTTTGTAAATATGACTCTTTTGTAATTAACTCATGTACAGCCTCATCCTGTATAGTCTAATGACAGACGCACAGGGGACCTGCCCTGGGCGCCTGTGGTTCCTGGGCCAGCAGCTAGGCTTGTGTGGCACTCTCATGACTTTGTGACTCACTGTGGTGTCTTCCCACTGAACCATGCCTGGCCAGAGACCCCCGACCCCGAGCATCCTGTGTCCGGGGCAGCCAGGACTGTTCATCAGCCTTCCTCATCTCTGTTCCCCCCGGGAATAAAGCACCTATGCCCTCAGCAGCTGCTCACCACGTGCTGTTGCTGGGATGTTTGTACTAAAAAAAAAATCCTTCCCTCCAAGAAGCAACCTGTGGTTTTACTCTCTATAAGACAAACCTCTTTGTTTCCTTTGTGGTCCATAGAATGTTCAGTACTTCTCCAGCACCACAACTCAAAGGCATCAGTTCTGCTTCTGTAATCCCTTATTATTGTCATTTTCTGATGCATAGCAAGTAATTGCAAAGACCATGGCCTGGATTAGAAACACCTCTAGACTGACATTGTTTCTCTTCAGCGCTCTGGAGAGGTCTCTGACAGCAGACTTTTGCAGTGAAATTCAGTGCCAAAAGTATTGATTGTGAAACTAAGTAAACTAGAATTGTGAACAATCTCAGTCTCCTCTCCATCTGTCATAATGCTGCCACTTGGCCCAGTGATGAGAATCTTTGTTTTCTTGAAGTTGAGCTTCAATCCATATTGAAGACTGCAATCCTTGACCTTCTGCAGCTAGCACTTCTGGTCCTCCTCACATTCAGCAAGCAAGGTTGTGTCATCTGCATAACGCAGGTTGTCAATAAATCTTCCTGTAACCCTGATGCCGCATTCCTGACACACATTTTTCCTGATTTTTGAACCATGCAGTGTTTCCTTGCTCTGTTCTGACGACTACCTCCTGGTCCAGGTATAGGTTTTGCATGAGCACATTCAGGTATTCTAGGATTCCTATTCTTCTCAAGGTTAGCCACAATTTGTTGTGATCCACACAGTCAAATGCCTTTGCTTAGTCAATGAAACACAAATAGACATTTCTCTGGTACTCTCTGCTTCCCGCCAAGATCCATCGGACATTGACAGTGATGTTCCTAGTGCCACAGCTTCTTCTAAACCCAGCTTGTATTTCTAGTAGTTCTCTGTTTACTGTTCCAGTCGTTTTTAGATCATTTTCAACAGGATTTTGCTTGTGTATGATATTATTGTTGTTGTGTACCACCAAGTTGGAACTGACCCATTGCTGACCCTCAGGTGGGTTTTCAGAGGCAGTTAATCACAGGGGAGGAGACTGG